TTAGTGATGGACAAGTTAGCAATTTCAAGTCAATTTGGATGGAGATACTTTGTAGAAGCAAGGCACTAATGGCTAGGACCTCAACAGCCCCAGTGCTGACTCTATCACTTAAAAAGACAGGAGGAAAGAGCTAGGAAATAACAGGTTTGGATCCTGAGTCAGGTCTGATTTCCAAGGTTATAGTCAGGTGCTAGGGAAAGAAGCAGAAAGAAACTACTGGGTTAGGTTCTCTTCCCTGGGGCTAAAATACCAAAACTTGCTAACCAGTCCTAAGTGCCTTAAGAGTCAATATCTTCTTACTGGTTTGTGTTCTCCTAGATAACAGCTATTTATAAATTCTTCTGTTCTATGTGGTTCCCCTTCCTTTCTCTGAGCTTTTCCTGGACAGTCAGTACTAAATGTTCGCTTTAAAAGAACAAATATAAATTTATCAAACACAATATGCAAGGCACTGTGTTATGTGCTGGGGATACGAAGAAAAGAATACCTGTCTTAAAGGAATTCAGGGGTAAATAAATATAAATACATATGTAGTACTGGGGGTGGGGTACTCTGCCTCATTCACACAGCTGCCAGAAAAGTTAACCGAGATTCAAGGTACTCTTTGGGTCTTCATCCACTCAAAACTAGTGATATTTCTTTTACTAATTAGCCAGTAAAAACAATTCAAAACAAAGGAATTTAATGAAACTGCATACTCACATGTATTTGGGCAAACAGAGCACTTTTGTGGTAAGAATATCCAAGCCACATGACTGCCTCTCACAGAACAGCCACAGCACAGAACCTAGACCCAGAGTAAACTATGGATGATCTAACAGACATAGTTTGAAATGTAGACATATTAGAGGACGTGTAACAAGACTCTGCGGAGTGTGCTACTCAAGCCCCATTGGAGTACATTGTTACCAAAGAGTCTTATAAATAATAATGAATTAATAAATATTTATTGAATTGAATTGAATCTCACCTACCTTGGCATGGTAAGTAGAAATGTCAGAAGTTAGGAGATACATTAGACAGATTAAATTCTTCACATGAACTGAGTTGCTATTCTCCTGTTCAAGTCTCATTAGATCATGGACTCTGCTACTTACCAAGTGATCCATCCAAGTAACAAAGGCTTCAGACTAAATTCCAAATATTAGAGACTGAAATCTTTAGCCCTGCCATGGAAATATGTCCACCCCTATTGTGTTCTTGTTGTGCAAGGTATCCTATGTTCTAGTTTGTTGTGGTAACACATTTTTAAATGGCATTGGAAAATTCCTCCTATACACCTGGGGTGTAGCTTTCTACCTCCATTAAGCCTCTCCCACAAATACATGCACCATCAATTCAAAGAGCAGACTAGTTAGATAATGAAGATAATCTTAGAGAATGACTTGGAGACCCAAAAAGATCCTCATGGGCTAGAATGAGTTGGATGAAATAGGAATTTACTTGAGTTCGCAAAAATCCATTTCCCAGATACAGGAAGTTGTTTGGGTGGAGAATTTCTAGAGTATAGTTCATGTGGAAAACATCTGGACATTTTAGTGGGCTGCAAGTTTAAACTGGTCAACAATATAACATTGCAGCCCAAAATGTTGATGCTGCTAGAGAAGCCATTAAAAAAAGTATACTGCACATACTAAGGAAATGATAATGAAAGTCATGAAATTATAATTAGAGCTGGAAGGGCCTTCAGAAGACACCTAGTTCAGCTCTCTTATTTTAGAGATGAGAAAACTGAGGCCCTCAAAAGTTAGATGAATTCCATAAGGTCACAGAGCTAATTAGTATCAGGACCATAATTCAGAATCAGGCTTTCTGACTCCAGATCTACTGTAGTTTTCACTAGACCACATCGGATTCTGCCATGGCCAGGCTGAATTTGGAGTCCCTATTTGATTCTGAGTACCACGTTTTGTTCAGTCATTTTTCAGTCATGTCTGACTTTTTGGGACCCCATTTGAGATTTTCTTGGAAAAGATACTGGAGAGGTTTGCTATTTCCTTCTCCAATTCATTTTACAGATGAGGAAACTGAGGCACACAGGGTTAAGTGACTTGCCCAGGGTCACACAGCTAATAAGTGTCTGAAGCTGGATTTGAACTCAGGAAGATGAGTCTTCCTGACTCCAGGACTGGCACTCTATCCATTTCACCACCTAGCTGCTCCCACCACATTTTGGGAAATACATAAATATAGTCTAGAGCACCTCAAAAAGAAGGCAATCCACTTATCAACAAGATCACAAGATCACCAAGTGGGTGTTAGAAGAGGTCATCTAGCCCGATGGTCTCAAACTCACATAGAAGTAGACCCATGTGGCTGCATGTTGCCTTAGAAAACCACAAATTAACATTATCTATTGTGTTTTTATTTATTTTGTTAAACATTTCCAAATAACATTTTAGTCTTGTTTGGGCTACACTGGGTTTTGCCATGTGGCCTGCTTCTGGGCAGTGAGTTTAACACCTCTGATTCTACTACTCCCTTCATTTGACAGAAGAGGAAACTACTGTCAGAAAAGTTAAGTAAAATTTGATGAAGGTCACCTAGGTAGTAAGGGAGGGAGGGGAGGAAACAAGCATTTATTGGAAAACCTACTTCATGCCAGGCACTATGTTAAGCACTTTACAAATATTATTTCATTTGATCCTTACAACTGTAGGAGGTAGGTACTATTATTTTCTTTATCTTACAGTCAAAGAAACTGAGACAGACTGAGGTTAAACGCCTTGCCCAGGGTCACACAGCTAGTAAAGTGTCTGGGTTTGGATTTGAACTCAGGTCTTCCATACTTTAGGACTAGCACTTTATCCATTGTACCATCAAGCTGGTAGTATAGTTAGGATCTGAACCCATAATCTTCTAACTCCAAATTTTTTCCCATTATATCTTGATGCCTTTTCAAAGGCTGGGGATAATGTCATGTAGGGATAAATTGAAGGAACTGGGAACTGTTTAACGTGGAGAAGACTTAATATGAGATATACTAGTAGTCCTCATGTATTTCAGGGGCTGCAACATGGGGAGAAAAATTAGATGTATTCTCTTTAGCTCCAGAGAGCAGAACTAGGAGCAAAGTGTTAAGAATTATAGAGCTATAGATTTCTACTCAATATAAGGAAAAACTTCCTAATAATTTGAACTTTCTAAAAATGGATTGGATTTCCTCAGAAGAGGAAAAAATTTCAGGCTTTTTCATTAATTAATTAATCAGCTCTGAGACTCCACCTGATTTATTGAATATTATGTGTTTAATAAACTCAGGGCTTGAGGAAGATCTAAGGTCCACTTCATGAGAGGGGGCTATGGACCTTTTAATAAAGTGTTATTGGCTTGGAGCTCTGCCTCAGTGGTTATTCTTTCAGACTGGACAACTTTGGACCCCATACCAGCCATAAGGCTGGGACTGAGATGTGGAGAACCTGCCTCTCCAGGAGTGGGTGAGGGTGGAGGTGGTCTCTTTTCTCACTTTTATTGGCACCTTAACTTCTCCTACCAGGGCTATTCTAGGATATGATTTTACTCATATCTTGTAGCATTCCACAAAAGAGGGGGGAAGTAAAATGGCACTTAATGCATAATATGAATTAGTATGTGGGGCAGGCAATTTATTCTTGCACACAAAAAGAAATGCTAGTCATAAAAAAATAATATGTGCAATAAAATAATTATTAGAACAGAATTTATTAACTTAATTTATGGCTACTGTTACAATCCACCTCATCAGAGCATAAAAGAATTAGCAAAACTGCTAAGTAGTCATTTTACATTTCACCTCAGCTGGACACTATCCCAACTACTGCCAGGACATACCTCCTGGTAAAATTTGACAGGGTTTGGGCAATCTTCATTCTGGTGGTTGTCCTCTTTGAGATAGAAGTTTCTGGTCAGCCCATGTTCTTTGTGGGACATAGAATCTGGGGCAGAGAAGACTCCATCCTTAACCACCCTTCATTGGAGTCACAATATTGAGAGCTGGAGACTCTGCCAAAAGAGCAGCCAGGAGGTAGACAGGCAGAGACACATTGTTTTTGTGCATCCATTGAGTTATCAGGTCCTCCAGCTCAACAGCAAATCAGGGGACTCTTCTTCATCCTCTGTTACAGGGTTCTCAGCAAGAGTTATATATGACTGGAACCCTCCCCCTACCTTATCTGCTAAGCTTTTTTGTAGTCTCTCAGAATGAAGAATGGCAACTGTGAATGCTTCTTTACTCTTTTTTAACTTCTTCCACTTTCTTTTCCCCTCTTGCTACTCTTCTAGGCTTGAGTATAGATCCTTTCCCAAAACCAATTTGCACTTTTAGCACCCCATGCTATGGGGAAGGGGGGAGGGAGGTGACAGAGAGTGAAGAGCTGAGGATGCAACTTAGGTTTCAAGCCTGAGTGACCGAGGATGCACTGAAGCATTGTAGGAAAATGAGAAAGAAGGGAGAGTTTGGGAGGATAGATAATGAGTCATACAGGATAAATACACATGGGTATGTTGCAACATGCATCAAAGATAGCATTATATGATCTTTCCCCCCAAACTCACCCTCTTTAAAATTTCTAAATTTCTTCAAAGTCACTGCCATTTTTTCAGTCACAGGTTTGAAGCTTAGGTGTCCTCTTCAATTCCTCACTCTTACCCATCATATATATTCAATCTGTTGCCAAATCTTATAATGTCTACATCTACAACATCTCCCCTCTCCTTTCTAATCACACAACTGCAACCCAAGTTCAGGCAGCTAGTGGCAAAGTGTATAGAGCACTGAGCTTGGAGTAAGGAAGACCTGAGTTAACTCTGGCCTCCTACACTTACTAGCTACTCGGCTCTGGACAAGTCACTTAACCTCTTTTCTCTCAATTGGAAAATGAGGATGACAATAGTACCTACCTCACAGAGTTGTGAGGCTCAGATGAGATAATTTTAAAGTGCTTAGCTGTGTCTGACACAAAGTCCTATGTAAATATTATTATTATTGCTATTATTATTATCTTTCACCACTGGATCATTACCTTAGAACTTTAATTGGTCTCTCATCCTTAAGTCTTTCTGCACTCCAATCTATCTTCCACTCATCTGCTAATGTGATTTTCCTAAAGCTTGGGTATGATCATCACTCTCTTACTCAGTCAAGCACAGTGACTCCCTAATTACTCTAGAATAAAATATTATTTCATCCTTAACTCATCTTTTTTGAGATTTTGTGTTTTATAATGTGAATAATTATTTGTATAGGAGTACATGTATAGAATTGACCTGTAGCCCTTATAAGCTCTTGGGATCCTTACTCCAGTATCAGGAAGAGGGGATGCCTTATCTAATAGGCGCTCTATGTAAGCATTCTTAATTCTGGTTCTTTTTCTTCATGTGGTAAGTAGTCCAGAAATTCTTGCATGTGCTCAGAAATCCCCATGGGGACTTCATGTGAAATCCCCATGTGGAGGATCCTGGGCATCTTCATAAGGACTAGACTTTTATTGGCCAATTTCCATCCTCTGTAACATATAATAAGTAAATATACTTTTAGGGTATGAGTTCAATTTTTTTTTAACTGATAGGGATGCAAGATCAAAAAAAGTATTGATACTGAAAAGGTCTAGGGGTTTTGGGGTGCTGGGACCCCAAGATCGCGGTACCGGGCCCTGCCTGAAAAAATTCAACTCAAATCTTCTTCAGCCAGAGGAAAAGTTTATTAGTGGTAAAACATATAGGCCAGGTGACGCCCATAAAGATGAGCGGGCATGAGATGTTCTCAGCCTTTTGAGCATGAGATTCTCAGCATCTGAATGAGGGCCAAGGTGGATCTTAAATACTAAAGTAACTTTGGGTGGCCAGAGAAGGGGGTTGGGTAAAGAGTGTAGGTAACAATTCTAATTGGGGAGGTCGGTGAGATTGAATAGACAATGGGAATAGATAATGGAGGAACAGGAAGGCAGAAGTTTGAAAGGCATCTGCACAAAATCAAGGTGGGGCTAGGACTTTCAAAAGGAGATAAAGGAAGGCCTTTCTGGGGCCTATAGACAAGAGCCAGATTCTATTCAGGGCAAGGGTTGAAGGTGCATCTGAATAAGATCTAAAGGTAAGCTAGGGCTTTCAAGGGAGATGAGGGTCTGGGGCCTGTGAGTCAGATTCCCTTTGGGGCAAAGGGTGAAGATCTTGGCTTGGGCCCAACCCTCATCAATACCACTACCTTAGAGGAGAAAGTGTTCCCCAACTGCACTGACACCACTTCCTCTCCAGTTAAGGATCTAATCAGAAAAGCCATACCTTGAGCCAGTTCTAATTCCCAGGATCTAGGACCAATAAAGCCATCTAGGGAGCATGGAGGAGATAAAGTTTTCTCCTCTAAGGTCGAAAGGACTAGTTTGGTAACTTTACCTCCTGAGTGTTAACATTTCTTCCCTCCACTACTAAACTCTCTCCCCATCCCTCAGCAGAACATCCCTTACATCCCCCAAACTGATTCTGTGCTTTGCAGTCACTCTCAATGCCCACAATCCTGCTCTAAAATCAATTAAGAAATAACTATAAATAAAGCAAAGAGGTCAGTTCTGTCTGGCTTTTGTCAAATGCAGGAAATTGTTTTCTTGCAGTAACTGTCTATAATTAGAATGGATATTTCAAAGGAAGAATGGAAGAGGGGGGAGGGGGAATCCAGCTTCCTGCCTCATAGGTGCTAAGATGATGTTGTTACTTAGTGGAATCTCAAGCCCTACATCCTCCCTGCCTCACCCCAAACAATACAACAACCAATGAATCTTCATGCAGATAAGCAGAGCAACCTTTACCCTCCTTTGCTGGTGTTACCCAACCAACCCACACTTGGACTAGGAGATCTAGTCTCCAGAATATGTCTGCTGCTTATCCCATTCTTGCATCTCCCTTTGCCTCTCACCCAGCCCTGACCCCCCACTAGGCTTTAGGGATAACTTAAGGAGTTGGGGGATTTCTTTTAATACTATCACTTACAAGCCCCAATCCAATGTGTTCCCTCCAATATCAATTGCCAATTAACAAATCCATGTTATTTAATCAATTAATATCAATTGGCTCTTACAAAAGGGTTATTTACAATGAAGGTATGGCAAAGACTGAGGTACAACTACATTCTAAAGCAGAATGACACCCTCTTCTCTAAAGACTTCAGCCCCCTTTGGGGGAGAGCAGACTCGAAGTGATTGCTACAAAATATTCCCCTTCCCCATGTTCCCACCTCCCCACCCCTCACCAAATGGATGAGCTGCTCCCTTGCTGGCAGCTCACAGTATCTCAGCTCGAGGTCAAGCTGAGTCAGACAGGTTTGCTCCTCAGGGCTGCTGACCTGGCTACTGCTGCAACTTCATTCTGGTTGCTAAAGGGACAGTTGATGCCCCTTGTTTTTCAAAATTCACAGTGGCACTCTGTTTCATTCAATCTCTAGTTCTCATTCACTTAAGATCAGGAAAGCATGAACACAAAAGGAATAGCAGCATTGTGCATTCACAGCCCTGGGTTACTGGGTGCTCTGGTAGCAACAGGCAGCAGGCTGCTGACTTTTCGATTTGCTACTTCTTCCCCAAATACCAGGCTTACAGCAGTTCTTACTAGGAAAGGGCTGCCCCATCAGGTATTTCTGGAAGCAGGCTTACCAGGCTTATGGACTTCTTGGCTTCTAAGGTCTATGCAGCTTTAAATGTACGATCCTCCTATTTCTACTAGTGAGAATACTAATTGAATCTTGCCCAATGACTTTTATCCTTGAACAAATACTTCAAGCAACTGTGATTTTCTCATATGTGAGCACTCCCTCCATCAACGCTGATTGCAGCCACTCTTTTCCTTTGATACCAAGGCTTAGTACGGGGCATTTGACACTTGTCAGAAAGGAAAGACAAATCACCCTGAAGCCAACCTGAATTTAATCTTCTCTTGTCCTGGTACATATCCTCTCCTTGCCATGAATGCTCCCTGGTGTGCCCCTGGCCAGATCCCACCCCCAGTGTCTGCAGACATCTCTGTCTGCCTCTCTATGATAACTTGGACTGGAAAAATGAATCACTACAATTTTTTAAAAATTTCTCAATCAGGATTCAGTCTGATAAATTTTCTAGATCTGTTTGGAAGAGGGTTTTGTTTTGGAGGGGCAGGTGAGGGAAGCTCATCATACTTCTTCCTGCTCTTCCACCAACTTGGATTCACCTCCCACCTTGGCTAGTATAATCATTATTGGGTTAACCTCATCATTCCATGAGAGGTCATCACCCTTGGCACTCCATCTCATCTCTATCTCTGCAGTTGGAAGGTGGGACCATGAATTGTAATCCTCCATTTAAAGAGAGATCTCAGCTCAGACATCTCATCACTCATCAGATTTCACTGTTTGGGGACTTCTTTGCCTGACTTCTCTCCATGCCCTGGAGAAGATAGCACCTTCCCCTGCCCCTTCCCTTTTTCAGCTTCCTTTTGTATGTTATCTCTCATTAGTTTGTAAGCTACTTGAGGGCAGGGACTGTCTCTCCCCACCCCACCCCCCATATTTGTATCCCCAGTGCCTAGCACATAGTAGGTGCTTAATGTTTGTGGATTGTTGACCATTCATCTAGAAAAGAAGTCAAAGCTGTGGCACTGATTCTTCTTATTCAGTTCATTTAGCACAGAGAAACCCATCCCTTAGCAATCCCTGCTTCATCCCTCAGCTACACAACAAATGTGCTTTGGAAACTGAAAGACCCCAATGTTCGGGTAGTCCTCCGACCTTGAGAAACCCTCCCAGGATCAACGCGAACACAACTCCGGATGCAAATAGCAAGAGGTTTATTGAACTTACGAGTACTCGGGCGACTCAGTCACCTAGAGGGACTGGCGCGCCGGGTGGATTCTTTGGTCTCATTTTATAGCAAAAAAGCGCGGGTACAGAAGCGAGGAGCAAGATCATTGGTTAGTTTGAATAAAAACTCCGGTCACGAGAGGGTTCTAGAAACTGCTGAGGGGCACCCTAGAAACTGTTATGAGCTCAGCTATTTCTGGGAATTGTTTGCATAAGTCCGGGGTGGGGACTCAGGTGCATGACCACAGATATCCCGTTTGGCACTCCAAATCTTCCTTGTTTTTCTTGCTCTGACCTTTTACTGTGCCTGGCTGCACCTGTCCCTAAACCTTGGGCCCTCCGGGTAGTTTCCATACTCCACGGAATGATTTCTGCCTCATGATTTCTGCCTCCTTCATTCCCCCATTTTCTTTGAGGGTAGCTCTAATCATAGAGCAGAATTAAAGGTTATCCTCGTTGTCTAGGGTCTGGTACTTGTGCCTGAGAACCAGAATCCTTACTGCACTAACCCTATCATTGATGAATTGCACTAACTTATTGATGACACAAGGCCCGAGGGTGAGTAACAGAAGGAGGAGTAGCAGGGGACCAGCAAGGGCAGACAGTAAAGTAGTAAGCCAGGGGGAACGGTTGAACCATCCCTCGTACCAACTTAAATTCTTTTGGTGCTCTAACTGCCTCTTATCTAACCTTTCCTTGAGTCTCCTGGGGCCACTCTCATCCCTATAGGCGAGTTGACGACCCAAGCTAATTTTAAATTGTGGACTTTATTAGCTATTAGCGCGCGGCTGCCAGGGATATTCACATCCAAATCAAGCAGCCCCCATCAGGGGTTGAGCTAGGGTTTATATAGGGAGTATACAGGACAGGGAGGGGGATGGATCTTTGAAGTCTGGCAAGAGGAAGAGGTTTTTTTGGGGGGGGCTGGTCAAGGACACCCTTCTCCCTCTGTGTAGATATGATAATGCTCTGCAAACTTTCTCACAATGGAGGCTTCCAGAGATATGATCTGAGGGCTGTGGCCTGAGCAGCCAGATAAGGGTCTTGCTAAGGAATTTGGAGTTTTCCATGGCCTAAAGGGTTCTACTACCCAATGGTAAAATAATGTTCTGCATTACATTCCCCACTTCTTTTGTGTACCATGTCAAACCCTTGACGTGGTTGGGGCTGCCTCATTATAGGGTGCAAAGAAGGCAGACACCAGGGTCTGATAACGGGGACCTTTAACCAACAGTAACTTAACTAAATTAATACAGGATCTAACAAAGTCAAGGAGCCGATTAACTAGACAAGGACCAAGAATTAGGGCTATAGTAAGGAGGAGCAAAGACCCGGCTAAGGCAGAAATAAGAATGGTTAACCATGGGGAAGTCCAAACAGGCTGTGGTACCAATTTTCGTTCCCTTCTCGTTCCCTCTGCCTGTCTGCAATATTTTTCCGTGCCAGGGAAAGGCTCTCCTGAACTACACCTGAGTTATTGGCATAGAAACAGCAGGCCTCCCCTAGGGCGGCACAAAGGCCACCTTGCCTGAGAAACAATAAGCCTAAACCCCTCTGGTTCTGCAGAACCATCTCTGCCAAGGAGTTGACCTGTCTCTCCAGTTGGGATGTAGAGTGCTCCAGATGACTGACTGAGGTCTGCATCGACCTGAGCACTAAGTTCCTGGTAACTGGCCTCTCCTCGGACTAGGGCAGCGGTACCCACAGCAGTTGATCCCACTAACCCCAACCCCACTGAGGATAGGGATGAGGAGGGGAACGGCTCG